CTTTCATCAAATATGTTGCTTTTGTGAAATTCCAAATAATTTTATTTTTATCTCAAGATCTTACATGTCATAAGTTTAAACATGCAATATGTTTTATGTGTTCTGTTGTGAATAAAACGTGTTATTATGAGAGATGCAAAACATCAAATTCTGTTTTTATGTATGTTTTCCACACCTTCCCAACGTTTGAGGGGAACTGGAGTTGTATATACTGCACAAGGTTAAAGAAGAATATATTAGATGAGAAATCGCTCATCGAAGATGGTGGTGCAGAAAACTGGGAGCAACACCCAGAGTACATGATAATAACAAGACTGTCCAAATAAAACAGATTTGAAAACATGAATTAAAATGCTTTTAAAATGCATTAAAATGCTGCGCAGGTTGAAGTTGTTGGTAATTCCTTTTTGCTTACTTTTTATTAGGAACTACAAACTATACCCTTCACATATATACAGTACATATATTGTGTTTACCTGCATCCAGCGATTATGAAAGGGATCATAGGCCTCAACACTAGAAAGCCTCTGAACTCCATCAAACCCTCCCAGTGCGTACACTTTCCCACAATGAACTGCCATCTTGTGTCTCCAGCGCCCAGTCGACAGGGGCTCGATTTGGATCCACTTGTCCAGGGCACCATTGTATTTCCAGACATCATGCTGTGTCTCCTTACCTCCTACAGCAACGAGACCATTAGAGAAAACTGTGATTATCTGTACAAATATTGCATTCATTCCAAAAATACTGACATATCACCAAGTCTTTAGTAATAACTCTGCATAAGTTATCATGCTGTTTAAAGATGGAGAAATCCTGCGTGCTAGTCATAGCATTTACAGTCTGCGTGTTCCACTTAACTAGAACTGTCAGTTCCTGCGTTGGGAAACACCTAAAACCACAGCAACTGTTAGAGCAGAAATAATGTCACGACTTCCTGTTGTTTTGTTTTGTTCATACTATAAATTCCTAAATTCTCATTACATTTGAATACCAGTGAAGTGCACACTTCACGGGTAATAACAACAAGGAGCAATCGTCACAATTTCACAAGTGAAGCCTTTCTATGAAAAAAAGAATATGTTCACTCACCAGATATGTATACTTCATTATGGAAAGTGATACAAGCAAATTCCACCCA